TATATCCCATCCATTTAGACCGACGTCTACTCTGGGCAGCTAAAATAAAATAAAATAAAACAACAATATTAATACACTAGAGGATGGCGAAATAAGTTAGGTATTTTATGACTCATCACTGAATATGAATGAATTGCTGATTAAACTCATGGCTAACAGTGGCTGAAATCTTGTTGCACAGCTATGTATGAAGCTGTGGAAGCAGTAGGAAAAATCATGGCAGGACAGAAGTAATAGCCACTAAGCACTTCCACAAGCATGTTGCACATCAGTCCCAAAAAGAATCACAGGATCATCAATCATGCAATCAATTTCCCAACCATGATATTTCCCTACAATGACTTGAACAATGCTGACTAACTGGGCATAAGGTATGGCACGCTTCTGAGTGTGTCACTTTACATTACACCAACTTCAACAGTATTTCTATCATGGCAGTGGAATACAATGTAAAAAAATGGGCAAACAGTTCTAGATAGTTAAAATATAAGTCAATACCCATCCCTATGTTGTGATAGCTTACTATTCTACATTTAAAACAGACTTCATTTCTCTAAATACTATCAGCCTCAATTTTTGTGGCTGCTGAAACAGCCCCTAAAACTGTTATCAACAAATCCATCAAGTGCCTCAAAATCACAATACTGTGGCTTGAGATGAGACACTGTCAAGCACTGTGAAACTGCAGATCAGAAACTGCAGATCAAATACTAGTTTTATCCTTCATTCTGGTCAAAAAGAGAACTACTGTATGTAGGTAGTTTCAGTTGGGTGAGGACCACCCCAATTCATTCATTCATTTCACTTTTATATCACCCATCTGGCCAAATGGCACAGCTTGCTTGTTTGCCTAAGACACTTGCCTCTCCTCAAGAGAGATACAGAAGCAACCTTTTCACTTCCTCTTTTCCTTCTTCCTCTCCAACCAGACACCAGACATCTTTATGATTATCCTGACTGCTGGTGTGACTGTACAATGACATTGTTCTGCATTTAAACCAATCCCCAAGGTTCTTTAGCCAGTAAGTTCTCCTCCCTGCACTTCTTTTCCTATTTATTCCACCTGAAGGATCAGCATTAACCATATGCATGTTTGTTTCTGACTGAGTGACCAAAATATTCTAACTTACCACATCTTACATGATTTCTGGGCCTTTCTCATAACTATAGAAGTACTAATAGTTCTCCTTTCTTGGTCATGTTCTTTATCTAGAAAATTCTTGAATGCACTATTGCATGTACTAGTCACTCTCTTTATAGTCTTTATCATCAAGATAACAACATGTTTCTTAATCAAGGAAACAATGGAATGCATGTACTAGTCACTTTCTTTATAGTCTTTATCATCAAGATAACATGTTTCTTAATCAAGGAAACAATGGAGACTGCTCTACGCAACCCAACTTGTGCTCCTGAATGGTATTCTGCTTTCAAATGGCATCTTTTCATTTAATTCATAAGAACAGCATCTGCTCTTTCAGGTTACATTTTTAAAGGAACTTAAAAGCTTATTGGTCCATGATTTCTACACATGGCCCATTGGGGAATGATGGAAAAATTGGACAACAGCAGCAACCCCCACCAACAGAACATGTGTTCAGACCACTATCTGCTGCTGTGCTCCCTGCCTAGCAACTAATTGAGAACAGTTTCCTGAAATCAATTATTCGTTCCAACCTGCCACACAATAATTTAGCATCCTAGAAATTATACAGCAGCAGCCATTTGCTTTATAGCCTTCATTAGAAGCAGCCTGACAAAGCAAGAGGGACCCAGACAGTTCTAATAATGCATGCAGCTCACCAACAATACTCTTTTCTACCATCAAATGGCAGATTACTAGGAAAGGTTTATTGTGAATATATTCTTAAGGGATAAAACAATCACAGAATGGAGAATGCCAGTTTCATACCATGACATCTGTAGCCCGGTGACACATCTTTGAATTAATTCCCTGGAACATTACAGGTATACCAAGTACATGTCTCTTAATATTATAAATGGCACAAACACACATTACTTGGATTTTCTTCCTGCAGGCTTAATTAATGACACAAATGCAAACATGGGAATAATAATCCTATATAAAAGGAAAATGCTATATGTTTGCGAATAGATCAAAAACTGGTGTGTAACTTTATACTGTGGACCAAGCTTGGCTAAGAATACAACTTTAGAATATTAAAACAGATGAAGCCAGAATGTGGTCCATCACAATGCTGTTTTTTCCTGTATCTAAGAAATCAAGCTCCTATTGTGTGCATGCATGCATATTTGCATGTAATTCGGACTGGGATTAAACCACTTGGGGAGAGGGTATAGGATACCCGTGAAATTTTGCCCTTGTCATACACAGATGGTTGAAATCAAGAAAATGCTTTCTAAATGTTTCCACAAGGGTTACATCTCTGGGTGAAATTACTAGCCCCTTCAGTGATGTTTTGATTTTTTAATAACCACAAGAAATCCTGCAAATGGATGTTCCACGTCACTTCTCCTTTGCCCTTCACCTTCAAGGGAACCCAGGCAATGAGACATTATTGTGCCCTCGTGGTCTCCTGCATGCTTCTTGCTTTTGGCATGCAACACAAAATCATCTAGGACTGGCCTCATCTCCAACAAACTGAAATGTTACTGTGAACAGTAATCCACCATAAGGAATTATCCCTGATGGACTTTGTGATGTAGATATTTGAAGTGAATCATATGATCTTTCTGTTGATGTTTAAGAAGTCCTGTAAACCAAGTACAGAATAGTAAGTATTTTCACTCAATTAGCACAAGATAAACACATGGAAAGTGCTGTGACTCATGTTTGATATGAATGAAATGAGGGAGGGCATGGAGCAGGCTAACTTGACCACTCAACAGCTGCACCTCAACTGCAGCATGAACTCTTGGCATACCCACTCTAAATTTCCTGCCAATTCACAGCAATTGTATATCTCCAGTTTTATCTTGGCTAGCAGCTCTAAACAGGATCTTCAGACTAACCAGGATGCATGGGAAACTCATTTCCACACTGCCAATCACCATATAACTGTAACTGCCTTACGGAAGAAAAATCTAAATTTAATCAAAAATCTATTTATCTTTCCACAAAGTCATGAATATTTCTTTGGCTCTTATCACTAATTATTTAGTGTGAGAGCGCATGTCTAAGCAACTTTCTCCCTGTTTCATTCCCCCCTCCTCCCGGCCATCTCCACATCTTTTCTTCCACGTCTCCAGGCAGTAACGCTACAATCTGCACAGTGTCTTCAATAACAATATCACTCAGGAAGATCAAGAATCAATTTTTGCCAGAGGCCTGTGCTGGAAGAGGCATAAAGATTAGGAATGCTTGTTGCAAAGTTGCCTTCCTTGTGTTGCAAACTCTGTAAACAGCACTGGGAATCTGAAATGCTATTCTGAGGTTGACTGGATCGTGAAACAACCTGGTCTTCTTCTGTCACTGTCAGGGTAAAAGTACAGAGAGGAAAACAGTCTGGAAAGAAGTTGGTAGGGGCACAGGACACTGGAACACTGGTGAGAAAAAGAGGGGTTAAGAACCATTCTGCTGTTTAAAGCTTCTCCACAGCAAATTATGTCCCCATCCTCCCCCATCCTTTATTTGCATAGAAACAGCAGCAGTAGCTGAAGTTTAGAAAACATGAGTTTGAGTTGCATATATGCAGTTTTGCCATTATGGAACATGCATTCCAGATCTAGTTCACACATTATTACAAACACTTCATATGGTTATCACAAAAGCACAAGCAGCCCACCACCTTCCATAATGAGCCAGCACTTCAAAGTAGGTGATTCATATATGGCTGCTATGATTACCTGGGGTTGGGGTTGCAAAATGTTACTATTAAGGCAGGGATCAGCATGCCCAATGATAGACCAGCCAGACAAAATGATAATAAACAGTACTTCCATGAGATTTCTGTCTGGTTGCATCTTAGAACTATCTCATGTGCAAACAGTATTCAGTGTTTCAGAAACAAAACTCAAGAATCCTCTGAAAGTGGCTAATTATTATCTCATATTCTCACTGCCTACCTCACTGCCTGCATCCACAAATTCAGCATCTCATCCCATATAATTCAATTTTCCTTCTTCTACCACTTCTAGAAGGTAGTGGAAAACTTTATTGTATTGTGCTACATACTCTACCAGGCTACATATTGTT